ATGGTAGGAAAAATCTTAGCTGAGCAAGCACTGTTTCGACGAAATGTATGTACCCCTACGTGGGAACACGGGATGATAAGATTCACAAAAAAGACTTTCGTTCTGTTCCAACAAACTACCGTCTTGTAACCCACCTACTCGTGTTTTCCAAGGTCATAGAAGCTATTATTGTTTATGTGCTAACTGCCTGGTAGGAAGAAATGACCTATCTTGCAGATGGACATCATGGCTTCGGAGGAAATCGATCAAGCACTATTAATAATTTAATAGCACGGTCCAGTTTGACCAAGGCGGTAGTCACGGGTGCGGGAGTTGATGTAGGTTCACTAAACTTTTCAAGGGCATTCGATCGGTTAGACTGTGGCACCCCTCTTTTCAAACTTCAGAGCTTCGTCTTTGTTGATCCCCTTAGGGTGCATTAACTCTCCTCCACCGGCGCTTGGAGGTAAAAGTGCATGGATACCAGGTAGCTCCCATCCAACTCGAGTGCAGAGTACAACAAAGGTCGGTGCGTCAACGAAAAACTATTCTATGCTGACGATTTCACGGTATGGAGAATGATCCGCACACCAGATGATCCTACACGCCGATCTGGATAGTATTTATGGATGGTCAATCCAAAATATACTCCGCTTCAATGTGGAAAAGTGCAGCGTGCTGCACTCACGACACCAACTAGCATGATATTACAAACTTAGCAACCGGGAGCTTCAAATGTCTTTTAGAGAAATAGATTTAGGAGTTTTGATTCAGCCCGACATTAGCTGTTCGCGTTCCGCAGCAAAGGCATCGAGAAGGGGCATTCAAAAAGTAGGTCCCTGTGACGTGCATCCGACCACCTCAAACCAATTTTTAGCGGCTTCTCGGTCCACACATTCGTCCACACGTGGAATATGCGAGGCAAGTCTGGCAGCCATAGCTAAAGAGAGAGAACTCGTTGCTTTGGAGATGTCTCAACGCCGGACAACCAAAAAGATCAAATGCTCGTACGATTCACACTATGAGCGAAGCCTGGGAGAGCTCGGCTCTTCAACGGATGATACTGGAGATTGCAGGGGGCCTTAGTACGAGTTGTCCGATTTTGAGGTACCCTTACCACGCGTGCCATTATCTTCTCTATCTCAGTTACAGAGAGGCTAACATGGTTGAGAGGTTAACACCCCAAACTAGCAGAGCAATAAAGTCATTTGGAATGTCGTTGGAACTTTTTTTCCGTACGTGTGTGCCAAGATAGGGATGCTATCCTGGAACATGTCATTTGTGCTCCCAAGTTGGTAGAATCCAAAGCCAGTGTTGATCGCACACTTATTTCTTTGAAGTATCTTATTGCCCACTGCCAAACAACTGTCTGCTAGAGAGTTCACTGCCGCTCAGCTCACAGAAGACGTTCCACCTATTTAACCTCTAACATGTGACGCGGCTAATGCAAACTTCGCATTTGTCTCCATTTCTTATGGATTCAGTTTTGATGCGTAAACCTCGATGAGCCTACCGGTGCGAACTTCCTCGCTGTCACTATTACCATATTTTGCAAATTTTGTCATGACCACTGTGGGAAATTTTAAATCTTAGCTTTTCTTAACCGTATTAAAGCACTGTTGCATCGGCGATCGTCTGCGAATGTGTGGTGACAAGGTGGTGATAATTGGGTTTGCGGTGTTAGGTAGCGGACCACATACTTCACAACTTCCGAAAACTACTGACCGTGTTCATGTTTAGATGAATTGATTCCCATACACCAGGTAAGCTTTAGTACAAATGAGTTGGCCGTGGTTGGGAAAACTCTTAAATTCCAGATACCTTTTCAGGAGCGAATTACCGATTACCAATCAAAAGATTCAAAATCTGATGGTGAACAACACAATAGTTGGGAAATTGACCAAATGGGTTGCACTTCCTCCAAAGTAGCAAAGGAGTGTTTGCCAAACGAATCAGTTGTAGTTTGTGTTTCCTGATCTTTCACTCACACGAATGTAGACACCATGGCAGTGTAGCAGGATGCCAAGTCACCATGTGGATGCTTAGCACTGGTATTTCTTTTCTGTTACGCAGTATGTTATATGGTGCGTGACAGATCGACAGTGAACTCAAATCAAATGGTGGCAGATGTCGAGTTTGGACAGAAACAGAAACTGGATTGCGTATGGAGTAAATTTTTCAAATAGTGGTCCATCAGGATAGTACACAATGATATCTCAATTATTATCGTTCTCAACTGATCATTGCCGCCTACATATTTCCTACGTCTACTCAAATAGTAGCTTGTACAGTGGAAGAATGGAGTCCTTTGACAACTCCAGTCAAAACGCTTTGGGCCAGAAGATTAGCACCAGTAGATACACGTCAAATCACAGCCATACCAGATGGTAGATGTCGCCACAGCTGAGAAAGAACATTGGAGTCAGTGGTGAGAGCTTCGTGGATCCAATCCAGTCTTTACTCTGCACTCAAGTAGACCTGTGGACAACGCCTATGCCAATCAATCCCTATAAATTACAGGAGCCTTGTAACAAAATATTTTGTTCGAATCTCGCTTTCGAACACCTAAAAACCAATACAAATGCATTTATTTTGGCATCTATGGATTTCGCTTGCCAGATAAGATCCTTTCGAAGTGGCTAACAGTCTAACTACCTGAAATTTGGTGGCGTGAAACAAAGATTGTACAACGGTACTTGTCAAAACAGAGCCTAGAAGAGGCGGGTTCAATGTAGATGGCGCAAATGTGCAAAAGAGTCGATCTTCACAGTGCTGGTGGCAGCCATTGCAACACTAGGACATGCACGCGGTTGATGACGGAATTAAGACAACCAACTAATCGAAGCTATATAGCAAGAAAGCATCATGTCTGGCACATAAATGCTACGGTTTGTAGTGCACGCACACGTTAGGATTTCACCGGCGTTAGTATCGAGGGAAACAAGAGAACATGTGGAAGCTCAAAGTCACTGCGCTTCGGAAACGACTACAAGCCAGCAGTAGTCTGCAGAACTGTGCCCTTTGAATATAAGCACTTTTAATTTGGGTAAAGAATGGAATAAAAATGGGCTGTTCTTTCAACCTCAACTCAGAGACGATCGTGTAAACTGAAGGCTCCGAACACGGGCAGTCTCCAGTGCAACAGCGCAGCGTTGCCTAGTGACTCATTTGCTAAACAACAACTTCGAATCCAGCGAACAACACCTGCAGGATTACAGGCTATCCAGCATTATACTTAGTAGGGTTGAATAGCTGGAACATGCTTGACAGCAAGCAGCGAGGAAGTTGAGTCAAAGTGCCTTACTCAATATAAAGGTAGGAATCTCTCCCATTTGGATACCAGAGTACGGAGTAAACCATGGTTTCGCGCAGTGGATTGTAATTCCGGTGATTGGGTATAAGTATCCCCGAACCAGAAGATACGAACAGTGTGTCACAAGCTACATCAACACGAGTATTACTATTACACGCTAGCTAATGGCGAGAGACAATCTAACTGTTGTGCCGCAACTTAAACTCGAGTACCCCAGGTGATCCCTAGTTAGGCCATTTACTCCCTCCAACATCCATGACAGGTACGTAGTAAAGTGAGCGGAAATATCACCAGCTCAGGTTGAACAGCCACTGAACACGCATAAGTCCTCAGAAGATCCAAAGTTGAATTTAGGGGGAGCACGCTGTGTGGTTGGGTTGCGACTCGCAACCTCTATTGAAACCTCCATTCACTTTGAGGTAAAGCTCGGTCACTCCGATCTCAAGGACCGTATCCTGAATGGAAATATTTGGGAAGATCGTTTCGTCCTTTCGGAACGGGCCATTAAGCGCACTGGACAAATTGTGCGCGGCCAAGGATGGAATTAGGAAGCAGAGGATGATCAACGGCCAAACGGCCTGAGTAGCTGGCTGCGTCGTTTTGCACTCAACTGCTGTCCGTTATGTAATAGTTACGAGTTGCTACACGGGACCACGTTCGGAATGTGACAAGCATACAAGTATCAGTCTGACTTCCATCGACGCTAAGTTTCTGGGTTATATCGATCTACATGGACTAAGCGGACCCCGTGAAAGCAAGATCCGTGAACAGCAAGCCAGGTTTCGTCAAAATAGAGGCTTCTGCGACTGTAACGTTACTTTACTTCAGTTACAAAAGCACCGCCATGTTTGTTGATGATCCACCCTACTCGTATTTACCAACAAATAGGTGCCCTGATTTGGCGCTGGGACTGTCTGAGCTGGAAATGTGTCCGGAAAAGCCAGTAAGCACCACCAGAGAGTTGTATGCGTATGGTTCGAGCAGAGAGATTGCTTCGGGCAAACTGGCACCGCCCTTCAATATCTTCAGCGGTGTGAGGTAAGAATATCTGCTTCCACCGTTCTATTCAAAATGCCCTACTGACGAATTAATGGAAACTTTTCATCAAATTCAACCTAGAAGATGTGGAGTTGATCCCATGTTATCCACTTCTTGACTTGGACTATACCGATGGTACTGTCTATATCCTTAACAACTTACAAACTTGCGCCGGCTGTGTTCATTACACCCTGAATACTGAGAACAGAGAGCGAGAAGATAAAAATCTGTGCTGCTCCATCGTAGGTGGATTGGGCACATATGCGGAATCACGTCGCTGATTCCAGTGCAGTGGTAGAGATAAAGTAAAACGTGCTTGAGGAGCGTTGAGTTGCAATAAAGCCCACATTCATGCTACTACGTCAGATCGGCAAACAACACACTGACTGCTGAGATTAATAGGACAGGAGGATGTAGATTCATAGGTCTGGCCACGCACCGTAAGTAACTCCGTCAACGAGTGGCAAACGAGTCTCCTGGATGAATAGAAGAACAGAATACTAAAAAAGAGCAAAGGGTGGAGAAATACAAGGATCTGTACCCAAGTACACAGATGGGATGTCACGATGACAAGAGTCGAATAGACTGGATTCTTGCAGCGTGGATGAGAAGATAAAGGAATTCGAGGATTTACACTATATTGCCCCGTAGTGTGAAAGAAAGAACGTGATAGAGACAATAAGTCATTTATTAAAAGATGAATATTTATCGTGGCTAATGCATAGACGAGTTCACATGGTTCGAAGTGATAAATGCAGAATACGAAATGTTCAATGGTAGCCCTATAGTAACGAACCGAAAGGTACACGGCAAACAAAAAACCCAGCGAGACTGATCCAAAGCAATCAAACAGTATCACTGATGTCTGTACAATGAGAGGAATTGCGAAATGAGGTAAACCAGCAAAGTGAAACGCCAGCATTGTGGGCCTACACATTAGCTTCCGCTTCGACTACTCCGTTCCGCTTTTGTGACGAAGATTCCAATTTATCGGTGGGCTCTGGCTTCGGTTCGGATGTCTGTGAATAGGTTAAATAAGGCAATGCAAGAACAATGATGCTGCCAAATAAAATGGAACAACAAGCGAACAAATGCGGGATAAAAGAGGAGGCTAACAGAAAACAAACGAGGAGTAAACGCGAACAGGATTGAAGGTCTTACTTGAGGTTTCCGAATTTGGCAAACGGTAACACGTCGATGAGATGTGGTTAGCCGGTTAAAAACAAAATATGAGAATGATAACACGTGAAAAAAGCGGATCCCCACAAATTCTTGATAGTCTGGCTCGGTGGCTGAAGTGCCAGCGGGTCAACGGGGTGTGGTAATTGGATAACAAGCGGTTTGACATGACGAAAGTGTTTGAACGAACACTGTTTAAGCAGCTTAGTCGTAAAAATGTGAGTTTAGACATCATCATCAATACACGTTAGCTGAGGGTGAGAAACATACCTCAGTTAGTGTACCGCAATATAAAAAGATAAGAGAGTAAAAATTACAGTAAAAAATTCCAAAAGCAAGTAATATAATGTTAAATAACATAAGGGATTTGCTATGATATTGTAATTAAAAAGGGACTCTAAAGGAGAGGTGTGTGGAAAAGAAACTCTCAACACAAAAGCCATTGGGACCAGCTATTCGCCATGTCAGCAAGTGTCTAACTCCGGCCCGACTATCGGGAGGCACCAACCGACGCCAACTTCGAAGTGACGGTTTTCATTCCTTTAGATCATGTTATCGCTTAGACTCCCCTCATCTTCGTCCATTCAGACGCCGGGCGCGAAAGCAACGCATGTCATGGGGGTCGGTGTGCTGGCATCCGCACCACGTCGCCAAGCCATTGGAGCCTGGTGTGTGATGTAACGGTATCGAGCGGTTCACTCAATCTTCCTGCACCAAATACACAAGGCCGAGCACACGCGGTGTTGTCACCAGACATGAACTAAACTACAAAGGCAGAGGTGATAAAAAGTAACTAATCTATTCATGTCTGTCAACCTGACGGCTAGGTTTAACAACAGCATAGGAGGGTAAAACGGGAGACTCCACTAGAAACTCAGCCCTTCAGGGTGAGGTATGTCGTGTAGGCGCAACAGGTGGCGGAGATTAGCAAAAGCACATCGAGCTCCAGCCTCATGAGCGGTAACTGATCGCGATGTGATCGACTTGCGTCCATAGCTGGTGGGCGCCAAGTCACTCACCTGCGAGTGCTGTGTCGGAAGTTAGTGCTCGCGAGAAATAGACGAGCATCTTCACACAGCTGTAGCAATCGCTAACCGTTATCAGTACGGGAGCCTACCCCATGTTGGCTGCCCAGAGGAAGTTCAGCAGGGGACAATTTTCCTACTTGGGCGTTCAGATCACAGAGCAAGCTCCACTGTATCCGTACTTTTTATGTAACGGAGAGTCGCATTCAGTAGATGATAAAATTCATCTTTTACCGAATCAGTGCTACATTTTGTGAGGGCGTATGCAACAATGACAAATAGGCACCGTTTGTTCCCGCGCGACTTCGTAGCATGGAATGAACCAGCCAATCTAACGATGCACATCCGACTGTTGACTGAGATCCAATCGATTAGGACAGCTTCAGCCTGGGGACTCAAAAAAAAAATGCCGAGGCCAGCTTGACCCACATTTGAAGCTGCGTCATCCCCAAACAGGCGGAATGAGAATGCGCCACCAAGGTCGCATGTGGAGATCGCAGGGTAACCATGGAGCTCGGATCCTGGAGGCGAGTTTCCGATAAGCAGCAAATATCAATCGATAGGGTCTCGAGTGTTCGGGCAAGTGCCACCTGTTGGTCAAACTGTAGCAAAGTGCGCACGCTGAGGCATGTCAGTCTTAGCGAAGCGCGAGGACTCCAAAGGGAAACAAATGAGCCGACGTTGTCCGCTTAGTTGAACATGGACTTGTCGACGGGACTGGAGCGGCGCACTGCGATTGCGTGTGATTTGAATCTAGAAGACAAGTGACTACTGGAGCAAGTCGGGGGAGAGCCAAGAATTGAGGGATTGAAAATGGGGGGCTATAAGTAAAGTTGGAGCGGGACGCTAAGGATGAAAAAACGTGAGAAGGGGAATAAGAAGACGGGAAGGCTTGAGCAGTAGTGTCCAAACCCCTATCCACCCTGCTCGATGCGACGGACAGAGAAGCAAACATCGTGTGAAGATAAGTTCATGGAGTTGCATTGCGCGAGCAGGATACTGTCAGGTTGACCAGGCCTAGACAGGAGAACGATTAGGGTTCTCAAGAAAAGCCTTTGGTTCAAAAACCTTACCGCATGACGGCGGGGTTTTAGCATTGGGCTACAGAGAGTCCGTTTCACGGAGTAAGGAGCCAACGTCACTCTAGCCCCCAAACCTGGAGGGCCAGGAGAATGTTTGTCTGGCCTCTAACCATTTATTAATCTGGCATAAGTGGCTCCGGTGTAAAAAGCATCATCCAGCATAGCTCAATGGATCATTGAGACACAAACCATCGCACCATGTTAAGGTCCAGCCTCGTCGTGATGGTGTAATGTATCCTATTGTGCTTACAGGCTGGTAGAGGAGAAAAAAGTGACATGGAGTTGGCTGTCTCCAGAATTTGGAGCAAACCAATCGAGTTCTTGAGCAACTATTACTTCTGTATGGTGAACCCTACCAAATGTCGAACTGGCAAGAGCGCCGCTCCCATCAGTTATCCAAATATTCCTTTATCCATTTTTCGTGTACCACACAGCCCATATCTCTCCATTCCTCATCCACCTGAGAGAGAACAAGCATCTTCAAGAGCGAGTATAAAGCCCGATAGAGAGTAACATACTGCAGACTCACATTAAATTACAGCTGAGAGAAAACCACATTTCATCAGTTAAAATGGCCCCAACGATTCGAAAAGAGACCTTTGTCTTACCAAATCCAATCCTGAGCTTCTGATGTCTGGGCTCAAGAAGTGGGAATTGTTGGATGAAAGTGTGCAAGGCGTCACAAGTTTCCGTACCAAGCGAAATGAACGGTGCTTCTGCAACAACATTGCTGGTCTATTCAAGGCTAAGGGTGTAGAAGGAATTTGCGACCACTTAAGCCTCACCTCTGTCGAATGTCTACTTCGACGCTGGTCAGCATCATCGCCCCGCATGGATCATTCGTGTACCACTTTCTGTTTCAACGCTATCCACATGACAGCCTTACTGTGGGAATTGGGGTCCGATTTCCAGTTCATCCACGTCCTATCTCGTTTTCACTCCTACATACAAGTACCCCTACGTTCAGAGTTCTTAAGTTCTTCTTAATTTGGTCGAGTTGTGTGATTCTCGGAGCTTGTACAGCTAGTGTATTATACCTGACCCCAGCAGGTTTCATTTGCGGACGCATACCATTGGCTCATTTGGATCCTTGCTATAAGTCCTGCGTCTCTCAGCGTTATTCCATTGTTTCTTATGTACGCATGAACTCGCGGGCCGCCTGTGCATCTGAGCGCGAATCGTGGGCATCCTACTTTTGAGTTTGGTAATTGTTAAGATAATGTCAATTTGATAGGATGAAGTTGTACAAATAGCACCGTTATCCAAGGTCCAGCCTCGGTTTTTTGTTGAATATGCCGGTGGGATAGGTGTAGCTTAAGCTTCCAAAAGTTATGTAGCTTTACAATGGGAATAACCTGCAACCCAAGTGAATGGCGCTTATTCGCATATAGTTCATCCAGGAGCCGCAAAACTGTGTTGCTACATAGCGGGAACGAGTACGGATCTCTCCCTATGGCTTATTCTGTGCATTTCAGAAGACTAGATCAGTGTGAAAATGTCGCTGAGTGTCTTGAAGTATGACGACTATGGCTGGGAGGTCATTAGAGAGTCCAAAATTGGACTCCAAAGTGGTTTCACCAAGTTTCCCTGCTTTCTTTGCCTGTGGGGCAGCCGGGACACCAAGACACAGTTGCACCAAGGAATTGGCAATAGTGAAAAGAATTCTCTGTGAGGAAGAACGTCAAATGAGAACTGCTGGTAGACTGTCAGAAGATTCTGATGTCACCATGGCACATCAAGTTAGGCCTCATAAAACAAGTTTTCGAGGCTCTAGACGGGGATTCGGCAGATTTCAAGTACCTTCAAGTTCACTTTCCCCGGCTATCAGAGGCAAAAGTCGAAGCTGCTATCTTCGTTGGAACACTGCCAAAGAAGATAACAGAATGTGCTGAATTCGAAGAAAAACTACATACGACAGAAAAAGCCGTTTGTAACAGTTTCATTGCAGTGGTTCATGGCTTCCTGGGAAAGCACAAGTCAGAAAACTATGGGCAGCTAGTTAAGACTCCCAAAGAAAAATATGCAAAAATGGGATGCATAATGTCCCTCAAAGTCCATATTCTTGATCATCTCGATAGGTTCAAGCAGAACATAGGAGCTTACTCAGAGGAGTAAGGCGATAGTTTTTACCAGGATATAATGGATTTTGAACTTAGTTGCTTGAGGCCATCCTGAAAGTTTATTGTTATTTTGCCTAACTTCGTGTATATCCATGTTAGTGCATGCACTGTTTCTTCTATGGCAACTAAATGAAAACTCAATGTAAAAATTTGCTTGCGTTGACTCTATAAACGCCAAACTTTTGTAGGCTGTGGTCATAAAATAAAAGTCCACGATGAATATAAGTATCTTAGTTTAGGTTGAAAACAGTTAGTTTAAGTATGAAACTCAGATCCCATGAACTGAAATCGTGTTACAACGTGTGATCATCCTACCGGTTCTTCGTTATAATTCCTTGAGTAGAATTAAGTAGAGCGATTAAGACAACTGGCTTATATATGGACCGACATAAGTTGATGCACGAAACAGACAAAGGCGGGCAAAATGTCCATGTCGAGCAAAATCTGTAAAGAAAAAGTGAACGAACCTTGTCTGCGACTGAATCGGCTTTCTTTCCTGTTCCAGTTTCAGTGATGGTAGTAGCAGCATCCTCCTCAACACGTGCACGTTTTGGTATATCTCGATGGCTCTGAGCATCACGCGAGAGAGGTATGTACGACTTGGCTGAAGGGTAGGACATCTCTTCATCAGGATCGTCGTAGAATTCGTTATTTGATTGAATGGCCTTGTCCCCAGCCATAATGGATATACGTCTGTCAGGATCAGCGCTGTCTCGTTCGACCGCCTCGTGTTCTTCAACATCGATACCATCAGCAGGAATGTCTAGGGAAGGATATGAGTGAGGCACAGGAACAATCGTTGCAGTCAACGGAGAGCTTAACATGATGCATGAGGAAAGTTATAGATACAGCTTAGTGGAGGTAACCCGCCACTGGCTTGAAGGTAAACAGTAAGGAAAAAGCTAAGAAAAGCGTAGATGCGTGGAGGGGAACAGGCAACAATGCCATTAGAATCAATAACAAATTGGAAACAATAATAGTACTCGATATTGATTTGTGATCACGAAACAAGCGCGGAGGACAGTTTAGCAATTAAGTTCAGTTGAACAACTGTGATCCCGACGCCGACGTGCGAGAACTTCAGTTGCCACGACGCGCATTACCAGAATAACAATAAAAAATACGCCAAAGAACTTCGGGCGGTGTCAAGTGGGTGGTTCTGAAAAATCTCCTTAAGGCGATAGGGTCAGTGGCAGTGTTCCGGCATGTGTTGGGTCTCCGCCTGGTAAGCGTTCTCCTTATAAAAATCCACAAAGGTCTGTTTACCAACACTTTGACAACGCGGATGTCATTGTCCCTTGCATATCCAAATGATCATACTCACTCCGCAGACGTCTGTCATCCACCTTGTATAGTTCAGTTCATCCCTTCTCATGCCGACGACCAGTCCGAGCAGAATTATAAACGCGACGGCACATTTATAAACTCAAGCAACACCGCTACGAACATGGTTAATGCCATCCGTGTCCGGATTTGGCTGTCACTATGGCCTCCACCGGACAGCCAGAGGACACCTGCACCTACAAAAAGACCATGGGTTCCTTGCGTAACACCCCCATACACCTCATATCCAGTGTAGACCAGAAGGAATAAGACTGGGAGGCATGTGGATGGGAGCCACGTTTAACCAAAGGAGACGGCTTATACTCCTTCAACATACACAACGGAAGCATTGCTGTGGGGAGTCATGCTTAGCAGACGCACACAAGGCAGTGGCTGGGTCATAGTCCGTTCCACACTTGATGCATGGCACCACTCTTTGAGCCTAACACGGTCACGAGGATCGTGCAAGCTGTCACGCGAAGCAACGACCGTCTCCTTGAGCCACTATAATCGAGGTAGCGGTTTTCGACAGATAGGCATCTTGGTTAGCCGTATAACCTCCTCGCAGTGCAGCTGGATGGTTAGGGTTTAACCCGTTCCAGCAAACAGTTCGGCAGTAGTGTTCCAGGATGTTGTGGGTTTTCGCCCGACAAGTGTTCTCCCTATAAAAAGCCAGGAATGTCTGTTTATCAACACTGCAACGTGGCGGTTGTGACTCACCAAAAACTAAAGTCACTGTCCCGTGAATATCCAGAGAATCCAACCCAACCCACAGACAAAAATCGTCCATTCTCACATTGCCAACGCTATCAACCAGTCAAAAATGCAGCGACACACTTACAAGCATAAGCCACACATATACATTCAATGTTATGGCAAACAAGCTGTATTTGGTACATCTTTGATCACACGCTGTTATCTTAACATGACCATGCCTCGAAAGGCGTGTCTTGTGTAGTCGAGAATAAAAAAAATTATATATTTATTTATCAAGCGCAGCCAGGCAGCGTATATCACATGGGAGATTTAATGTGTCAAATGTACGTCCGACAAACAGTGTTACATTTGATTCCTGGTTCCACAGATATGAGGACATGTTTTGTGTTGATCTGGTCAATGTCTCCGAGGACAACAGAGTTCGACTCATGCCACGGAAATTGGGTGCGGCTGAGCATAAAAAGTTCACAAACTTCATCTTACCGAAGAAGTGTACCGACGTAACGTTTGACGGAGCGGTGTCCGTTTTATCGCAGATTATGGGGAGCAGAGGTCACTTTTCAACATTTGATACCAATGTCTTAAAATGACTAAGAGAGATGATGAAGACTGGGTTACCTATTCGAGCCGCGTGAACCGTGAATGTGAACGTTCCAAATTCCACAAAATGACGGATGATCAGCACAAATGTCTCATCTATGTTTGTGGTCTGCAAGCGACCAAAGATGCCGATGTCAGAACCAGGATTCTGAGTAGAATCGAGCAAGACCAAGAGGTTACGCTGCAAGAAGTGGCAAATGAGTGTTAGAGAATGATGAACCGGAAACATGATACTGCAATGATTCAACAGTCAACCAGCCCGAATAACCAAGATGTCATCTATACTGTACCCCGTGGTCCCCACAAAAAACCAATGCAGTGAGTTAAATGCCTTCTAAGCACCCTTCCGTCCGTTGGTTTTGCAACCAATGGCACTTTGCGCGCAACTACCTATTCAGAAATCACGTGTGCAGTCGTTGTGGTCGAAGAGGGCACAAAGAGTCGTGTTGTCTTGCGAGTCGGCCTATCACCAGCGGAAAACAGAGTCGAATTCCGATGAGTTTCCGAGATTACAGTGTGACTGGAACTGTGACGGTGTCAGCAGGAGTCAGTACACTGTGGTGAAAACCAATGACAAAGAAGTTAAGCTGCAGCTGGATACCGCATCAGACATCACGTTGATCTGTCGAGACACATGGTGCATGCTGGGACGACTGCCGCTTGTCCACACCAACCACACAGCACAGAAGGCATCCGGAAGTGCCTTGAAATTACTTGGAGAGTTGCCCTGTCAGGTTAGTTACCAGGATCAACGCATTTACGCAACTTGCTTTGTGACAGATCAGCCAGGATTGAATCTACTGGGACTCGAGTTGAACTTACTCGATCAGTCAGTCAACAGTATTTGTCAGTAAGTCAAGAAAATTATTTTTGACAGCCTTAACCCCGGAAAGGAGTAAAACTATAACGGACAAACGAGAGAAGAGCAGTCAAGCAGGTTCCGTACCTTCAAGATCGGGGACTTGATTTACGCACGAAAGTTCCAAGCCCCGAAAGTCTGGTTAAGTGGAACGGTCATGGGCAAGAGAGGCAAGGTTATCTACGAGATTGTGGTCGGTAATAAAAGGTGGATCAGGCACGTGAATCATTTGCAACCGCACTACGGTTACATTCAGCGACCAAAAGAATCGGTAAAACTGCAGTGGGAAGTATTGCTAGATGCTATTGGTCTGGAAAATGAAAACGATGGCTCGACTGGAACACAACCAAATGCACAGGCAGAACAAGACCTATCATCTAAGCCAACCAGAACACAAACACATCCAAGATGGCTACAGATCAACCCAAGGGCAAAAAGCTATGATCAAAACTAACTGCATAAAATACGCGGTTGCAATCACTTCAAACGGGGTATTTGGCGGCCAAGCGGAGCGAATACCCATGCTAGGAGTTACTGCACTATGCCGGCGCGATGCCAAACATGTGTTCAAACGACCAACAACGGAACGCAAATGCGAAATGGATGGCTGGCAAAATCATGTGGGCGTCGGCCGTGTAAGCGCCGATCATGGGAACGAGGTTGTGAAAAATATGGAACACAGGTGCGATGTGAGCGGCTGGCGAACCAGGAGTGGGCATCGACTGAATGTACGGGAGCCGTACTCCGGCACGAAGAAATGGCCAAATATGGTATCGGAAGCAAAACGAAATGCGTGCACATCGGTTGAGGCCAGGACGTCGAGGACGAGTTCGAGGCTCACTTAACTAACAGTTTAGCTGACCTATAAGTAGAACCATTCCGTTCCATAAAGTACACTCCGTTTACCCGAGTCTGACTTTTGTTTTCACGATTGGATTGGACACCAGGTAGAACGGGCCGTAGACAGCAGTACTGCAGTTGGGCACCCAACAGGCGGAACCCATTGTTGCGGTCAAAAAGCCGAACGGTCAGGTTTGAATATGCACCGATTTCTCGACGGGTCTAAATGCTGCATTGAACGCCCACTAATATCACTTGCCGCTCCAGGATGATATGTTTCTAAAACTGAATGGGGTACATGTTTGGCAAAGCTGAATCTTTCCGACACATACCTGCAGATCGAGGCATATGAAGGTTCACAAGAATTACCATGAATACGCACCGGGGCTTGTATCAGTGCCAGCGTCTCCCATTCAGAGTCAAGTTTGCACCAGCTATATTCCAGCAGACCATGGACACAGTGCTGACAGATGTTGATAGAGCAGCTGCTGTTGTCGGAGCTAGTACCGATGACCTTTTCGAAAAGCTGGACCGAGTTCTTGGTTGTGTTGAAGAATATGGATTCCGACTCCATCCTGAGAAATACACCTTTATTATGGACACAATTACGTTTCTCGGCTTTATAATCGACAAGAGCAGCAAGAGTCTAGACGTAGAGAATATCGAAGCAATGAAGAAGGTGCCATCGCCCAAGGTCCCTGCTAGGACTTATAAGTCATTACAGCCCATTCCTACCGCAAATGCATCGCTTGCGTGGTTTACGCAATGATCAACTGACAAAGGATAAATGCTGGGGTTTGTCCGGAGAATGCCAGATCATTTAAGAAGATGAAAAGGATGCTATGTCCTGACCCTATGTTGACACAATACGACCCTACGCTTGGAGATTGTGACGGCAGAAGACACCTCGAACTATGGTAATAGTGCAGTCATAAGCCACAAGTTCGTAGATGGTTTAGAAAAGGCAACTATACATGCATCCAGATCGCTGTCTCCCGCAGAACGAACTTACGGCCAGAAAGAGAAGGAAGTCTTAGCGATGGTCTTCGTAGTAAAGGGACTTCATAAGATGCTATATGGAAGTGTACGCTTCTTACTGACAATAAGCCGATGTTGGCAATCTTCGGATCAAAGTCGAGCAAACAGGTTGCAACAGTGGGCTACCACATCAGTCGGTTACGACTGTACGGTGAGGCGCATTTCCACAAAGGACATTGGTCAATCACATGCACTTCACCCGCTAATGGAAAACCAGCAGTGCCAGCAAGAAGAATCTATCATTGCAGCGATCTCTCTGGAATCGGAACTGAATCAGATACTGTTGGAAACGCTCAGAGGGTTTCCGATAACTTCTGAGATGGTACGTAATGCATCAGTGTGCGATCCCATTCTGCAACAAAGAGTTAAATTCCATACTACACAGCGGCAGAAGGACAACCTATCTGAGGAGTTGTAGCGAAGGAAAGACGAGTCGTCAACCGTCAA